AATGACAGTCGGGGGCCAAAAATGAGCTCAATGATACAAGTTTTGCTTGATGAACTGTAAACTGTATTCAGTTATGCACATCGAAATATCAAGTTTATTTTTTCAAATAAACTGGAAACTAAACCACATTTATTGACGTTTGCCCCAAACGCTAAGAACATTAGGTCTATCCAAGGCTTGTTGTATTGTAGAACCACTTGATCGGCCCGATACATTTTTTTACAACTAGAACCTCACCTTCGTCTCTCGCCAACGAAGTGCAGAAAATCTGCTCCACCGTTGCAGTTCTTTCAATAAAGTGGAAATTCAGATAAACTTATAGGCAGCATTTGGAGATCATCGATGAACGAGCGACTGGCAAACTTGGAGTGATCCCCTTTTAGTTACTATGTTCATTTTGCGATCACTCGGCTTTGTCGGTCCTTGTTGGAGCCGCTTTTCATGTAACTATGGTTGATCTCAGTGGGTTCCGTTGTACTGATTTGGTTTCACGGCATGTATTTCATTGATTGATGCAAAATTTCAGATTTTGTCTTTGTGGTGTGTATAATTCATCTCTAAATTTACGTGTGCTTCAGTTCCGTATTTTGACAAACCCTTTTTAGATTACAAAATTTACCAATTTTTCTTTCAGAGCAGTCTGAAATTGGCAAATCCAGATCCGTTTCTTCGGTACTTCTCATCAGGCCAGCATAGTACACAATCGGATATGTAGACACAGCATATAGCGCGATAATCCGTACAGCTATTGCGATGGTTGATGTTGGGGACTGTTTCCAAGTGGACCAATCAAGGATGAGTCAAACTGGTGTGTCCATTCCACAGTCGCACTGATTCTGGGCCAGGGCAGTAGCAGGATCTTGACAAATTATTTCAGCGAGCATAGTATTGGTCAGTTTTACTTGATCGCAATTCCTTCGGTTGTGGACTCATTTTGATCGATTATAATCTACCCGAAAGATGACCTTGAATTCTCCCTTTCATGTTAGTTCGTGACCCGTGTCGAGTGCGTGGGCTTTTTTTTTAAATGAGAGACGGAGTTTAACGACAAAGCACATTCTTGTTATGTCGTGTGATAGTCAAGTCAAGTCAACTTAAGTTAATAGCAGCTTTATTCACCCGGGTGGGTGATTTTACAACATTAGTCTATGAGTTAGCATTTCAGTTAGCAAACTTCCCTTGAAATCAGTCGTTGTATGACCACCTTTCTCAGGGATAGCAAAACGACAGAGCTGAGAATCAGTCGTTAAGGTGTGATTTGATAAATCTTTATGGTGTAACCATTTTCCCATAACGTTCATTGCAAAGCTTGTTGACGGACACAGACCCCAACCTTAACCACGACGATATGAGCATTTACACTACGGATTTTCATGCTGTATCCATGTGTCTGCATATTCATTTGCTTACTGAAGTGAATTGTTTGACCGCTTTCAGGCGACGGTAGATGCTCCATTGTTAGGACTGAAGCAACTTGTCGAAGCTGCTGGAAATTTATCTCAGTCTTGTTCGTTTCTGAAACCTTTATTGGTGACCTCCATTCAAACGATGTTGCCTAATGTCAAAGCATCCGAACGCACACTGATTTTGATGGTCTTCTTGAGAATCTTGTTCAAATGCACAGTTTCTTTCAAACCACGGTCTCTTTTTTAATCCATTCTTATAGTCTGAATGATTTTCCTCTCTATCAAGCCAGGTTGCCAAATGAGTCGGCTCTGTTGATCACCCTAGAGAGAACCCACAGGGATTCTATCTATAATATTAGGTGAGTGAAATTCATTGTATCTTTTCAAATTAGAAAAAAACTATTCAATACTGTTTGAGGCCAGCATTCAGTTCTGTTTCTGCTTATGAATACATTTTGCCCATCATTATATACTGCCGATAAGTGCGGAAATGCTTTTACCAGGAATTTTAAGCCTAGACGTTAACACAATTCTTGTCCATACAATAAAACGATAATTACAATCTGACTAAATTTTGTAAATCCGTGGGAATGAAAGCCTGTGGACATTAGGTCACCCGTCAACTCCTTGCGTGACCCCAGCCGCAGAGTCGCAGTTTGAGTCCGGGAAAAGGACAATAGAAGTAGGTTCCGTTAAAATAGGATGAAACGGGTGCCCAGTGTTCCGCTTCGGTCATTGCAGAGTTTTTCATCACATCCAAGTGCATCTCAACGATGGGTAATCAACAATCTCCGAAGGAGTGAAACCTGAAACTGAGTGTCAGCACTGTCTGGTGCTAGTGAAGAGGTTGAATGGGCTAATCTGAACATAATACTCGAAAATGTTCACAAGTCTTTCAAAGCTACACTGCGACATGTTGCAAAGGATACTCCTGATGGATTCATCAACACATTGAAGTACTGGTAGGGAATTCGGGAATGTTGTTTAACGGAATCGAGAGAATGAGACTTGATCGGGAGTTGAACTGACCATCCTTCAGACTTTACCCTCACTCACAGTCCTCAGTTTTTCCAGTCAATCCTACACTCGGAAGCACTAAAATCGAGTGTCGCTCATCAGTGATGCATATGGATCGTCCCAATAGGGCTTTGAACTCCGGACCCATTGCATGGAAGGTGTGTGTGTTACCACTGCACCAACCAGCCCTTTTACCTACTAGGCTGGTGATGAAAAAACGGAAGCGAAAACAATATGTCTAAATATATGGATTAAAGTGACTTATCGTGGAAAATATCCAAAATAACTTTTCTGATATTGTGGAAAACGTTTGTGAAATGATCAGTGTAAGCGGTATGATGCTGACATGCGGACCGGGTTTATATCGACCAATTTTTATTAGTTTTTGCACACACCCAAACACCGAATGAACCCGGAAATCAA